GGGACATCACCCACACTGTTGACCGCGGCACAGGGTGCGTTTGACCGAAATCGGGGGTACGCCAGTGCGCAGGTTCAATCAGCGTGTCGAAGGGGGCCACTCCGAAGAAAGCTGAAGCCATTGATTCATGAGGATGTGCAACCTTGGTATATCTAATCACTGTCCCAAGTGCGCCTTTTGGGTAGTTTCAAGCTTTTTGCAAGATGTTTGATGCGTTTTGGGGATCTGTTTCGGTGTCATAGTGTGCCTTGAAATGGGGTGCCACCCGCGTTGCTGCCTGCCACCTGACATGGCTTTGTTTGGGTCGGGATTTGTTTAAGGCTGTTCAGGATGTAGGGTTTCAAGTTACGTGGCTTATGGGGGCAGAGGGGGGGCCCTTCAGGGCCAAGTGCCTCGGGTCGCTCTTGTTCAGCTTCACTGGTGGCCGGGTCTTCGTCGCAGGTCCAGCCGGGTATTCGTTTCCGTGGGCCATGAAAAAGCCATCCGAAACCCCTGCGGACTCGCAGGGGTTATTGCAGAGTTGGACGGGTTGGGCCGCGGGCAGTGGTTTCGGAGATGGCAGCCTTTCAGGCCTGCAGACGAGTTCCGTTGGTGGCACCACATGTGCATGGTGTATTCCGCGGAGAGTGAGACCATGACAGTGACACTCAGCTGCAGTGGGCCATGGCTTGCAGAAAAGGGCGCCTGAAGAATCAGGCGAGGAGCGTGCAACATTGCTCGCCTGTTTGCTCACCAGCTTGCTGATCGGGGGTAGCACCAGCCGTGATGAAGGTCCTTGGTGTAGGAGGTCCCATGTTCTCGGAGAGGCTGTCAGATGGGGGAATCTCTAGGTCATATTTCCAGGAAATGATCCAGATGCATCCAACCGGGATTTGGTTGTTCCAAGGTGACTGGTATCCAAGACAATCACGTAGACAATCCCCCTGCACTCCCTATTGGGTCCCCAATAGGAATTAGGGAAAAGTGTGGTCGGCCGTCCATTTTTTAAAGGGGCTCGGGCAAGGTACGCCGACGGCGAGCCAGGCAAACCAAAGAAGATCGTGGGTGCCTTTAAGCCTTCCGAGCGCAAGCTGGAAATTGGCAGGCGGGGCGCCGGTCGCCAAGTTCCTGCGGAAGGACATCGAAAGAAAGGCAAACGGACAGCTTGCGATGTGCCGAAAATGATCTTAATTCTTGCCCCTGATTGTCAGTTTGAATACCTTGATTTAGAGGTTTCGGGAGTGGTTCCCACTTGCCAAGAAGGGGGAATCCAACCAATCCAAACGGACAACCAGAGCAAACCGGGTTGCATCTTTGCTGCCTCGCGCAGCGTTGCTCACCTGCCAGCTGGCCCAGCGGACCTTCCACCTTTGCGGGCTCTCCAGAACTCACGAAGGTTCAAGGCCGACCTTTTAAGGCTTTTGGTTTCCTCGAGTCCGTTAGTCATGAAACCAAAAGCTCAACCTTTTATTTCTTGGGCAAGTGAGAGAGTACCTAGATAGCCAAGTTGCTGCTTTTTGCAGTCGCTGCTGGTTCTTGGGGTAAGCGATCGCAACTGACGATCCAGGTATGCGCTGCTTGGCCATTGCTCGGCAGGTGTAGACTCCCATATTCAGCGCTTGGCAGACGTCGCGGCCGCTTTCCCGTCAGTCAGAACGGGTGTCGAAAATGCGCCTGACGCTGAAATTCGGCGCCTAGATTCGGAAAGCTGAAATTCGCGCCTGTAGTGGAAGAGTACTTTTCAGCAAATCGTGCAAGCCATCTTGGTCGGCACGGCTGATGGACGCGGCCGCGGCTTCTAGGTCTGCCGAGTCAGGCCTAAAATAGAAATGCTCATGCTTCGCCCAAAACAGTTTTGGCGGACAACACCAAAGTAGGGTCTTCTGTGTCTCTACTTCCGTTTCTCTATCTACCTACCTGCATTTGACAACATCCATTTGGCACCTGGGCAGTTAGCTAGTCGGCGCCGCGAGCAAAGTGAAAAGAGCACGGGTTGTTTGACTCAACTCACCGAAAGTCCCCAGATCTATCCTTTGATGGCTTCCAATTGCGTCTGCCCGGGCAGTTTCAGCCCCCGCCCCGAATTTCGTCTTCGCGCATTTCGGCTTCACATTGTGTCTTCGCGGGCATTTTCGGCTTCGCCCGGGATATCAACTTCGAAAATGTTGGCTTCGAAATTCGTCTTCGCGGGCATTTTAGCGTCTTCGGCCACCCCGCAAGTTGGGACCCTCTCTCCTCAATGCGCACACGTTGCTTTTGTACAACGTGCGAGGCACCGGATTGAACATGTGTGGCTTGTTTCAACCTGCTTCAGGCTTCAGGCTTCTCTTTCAGCTGGCTGATGTCGAGACTTTTCGACATCAGGGTAGGCTGAGTATGAAGCATCATCTAGCTTTCTGTGCACCAAGGGATCCGCGCCTCAAGTTTGGCAGTTGAGCCCGGATCGATCCGTGCCAGGAACCCCTACTGGAGGGATCGAGGGGTCAGAGGCAAGATCTGGCGTGCGGCGGTTTGGCCGCATGGCTTCCCCCCCGAGGCCGGAAGGGGAAAGAGGAGCAGCCAATGAACCGATGTCAGTGATTCATGACTGGCATGCAGGCCGGCTGGTTTGTTTACTTGGCTGTTTGTTTGATTGTTTGCTTGCTTGCTTGCTTGCTTGCTTGCTGGCTGCGTTGCTTGCTTGCTGCGTTGCTTGCTTGCTGCGTTGCTTGCTTGTTTGTTCTGTGCCTGTTTGCTTCCTTGCTCGTCTTGTTGGCTTGTTCTGCTGTTTGCTTTCTTGCTGGCGTGCTTGTCTGTCTCTGTGCTTGTGTGCTTATTTACTTACTACCTGCTTGCTCATTTGCGTGTTGTTTTGTTTGGTCCTTTGTTTGTTCCTTTGTTTGTTTCTTTGGTTGGTTGGGTTGGTTGAGTTGGTGCGTTGGGTTGGTTGGGTTGGTTGAGTTGGTTTGTTGGTTGGTTGGTTGGTTTGTTTGCTTGCTTGTTTGTTTGCTTGGTTTTGTTTTGTATTGCTTTGTTTGTTGGGTTTTGTCCGGCTTTGTTTCGCTTGTTTTGATTTATTTGGTTTGGCTTGGTTGGTTATGTTTGTTTGTCTTGCTGGTTTTGTTTTGTTTGATTCGATCTCTTTTGTTTGATTGTTTGTTTGATTGGTTGTTTGTTTTGGTTTTGATGTCTGTTGTTGTTTGAGTTTGTTTGTTTGCCGGGTTTGGTTTGCAGTTTAGTTTTGTTTGGTTTGGTTTTGTTTAGTTTCGTTTATGTGTTTGCCTGCTTGCTGGTGTTGGTTGGTTTTCATTTGTTTGGTTTGTTTTGCTTTGTTTTCCTGAAAGCATTGCGAAAGGTTCTTGTGTGTGGAGTCTTTGGGCCAACTTGCACAGAACAACTTGCACAGAGCAAGTTGCACAGAGCCATTTGCATAGTGTCGAGCGAGCAGTTTGGGAATAGTCTGGGTATAGCCAGGCCACAAGTACTTTGGGTAGTTTCTCATTTGAATGGTGAAGGGTCTGGGTGATGGTGTGAAAGGTTGGGTGCCTTAGGTCGGGTTCTTGGGTAGGGAGCTAGCGTCAGCAGGTTAAGCCTCTGTTTCTATAGGGAAGATTCTGAACGCGCGTGAGAGCCCTCGGTAATAAGATTCTTCTTTCTTGGCTAGGTGCAGGGTTGTTGTCATTGCGACTCTCTGTGGGGGTCGCCGTGGTCAATGTCGAAAATCTGGCCTGCGGTCCGCGCGCAAAAGCTGAGAACTTTTTATGATCTTTTGGTGCCCGGACCAACCTTCTGCGAGAATCGGCGTGGTCGATGTCACAAAGCTGATGCGGATTTCGTTGCGGTTTTGCCATGCACAGAGCAACCCTCTGCGGGGAACGGCGCAGTCGATGCCAACAAAAGACTGACTGACGACTTTTTACGGTTTGCGATCCCCGACAAACCGTCTGCGGTGACCGTGCTTGTCAACCATCTCACACTTCGCGGTCTATTGCAAAGCTGCACTTCAGTTTCACGGGGGGCTTGTTATCGTCGCGGTGGGTAGATCGGGCTCAACAAAAAATGTGGCAGCGACATGCCTTCGGGCCAATCGTCCTCTAGTGCTTCATTTTGCTTGTTGTATGCGGTGGCATGCCGCGTGCTCTGTGTCTGCGTGTGCACGTGTGCTTGTGTGCTTGCGCATGTTTTGTGTTGTTGTGTGTTGGGTGGTGTGTGTTGTGTGTGTGTGTGTGTGTGTGTGTGTGTGTGTGTGTGTGTGTGTGTGTGTGTGTGTGTGTGTGTGTGTGTGTGTGTGTGTGTGTGTGTGTGTGTGTTTGTGCATGTTTATGTGTATGTGTACGCACGTGTGTGCGTGTGTGTGTGTGTGTGTGGTGCGCCAGTAGGAGCTTCTCTTCTAGCTGCACTGCAGCTGGCAGGGAACGAAGTGGACCGACATTACCGGGGCCATTCTGCGCTTGTTCATTTTTGCTTAGGGTGTGGGCGTGGAGCGACGTATCTTCCACCGATGGTGCCTTGCAGACTCAGGGGCCATTGCGAACCTTGAGCAAGCAGGAGCTCGAACTCGAACTGAAACAGAAACAGAAAGGCCTTTCCGCAGCAGAATTCCCGATTCAACGGCAAGGCTCAGCCTGGGCTCTGTCAGGTGGACATCGCCGTGCGTGCCAAGGAGATGATCTTTGACGCTGAGCGCTCAGAAAGGCTGGCTCCTCCAAAGTGACACGGCGTTTCGGCAGCTTGGCACGCGCTTCTTCCAAGTGCGTTTCCTCAGGCCCTGGCTGAAAGCCAGGAGCTTTCGAGGCTTAGTGGCAGCCCTTGAGCCATCGGTGTGCAGCTGGCTGAGAAAAGCTGGGCAAATCCTGAAATAAAAACGCCAACCCGCTCCCTTCATCGGTTGCCAATCTGAAGCGGACGGCAGGGCATTTTCTTATCACGCGTGTCGGGCATCATGTGTGCAGCTGCTCACTTTGTTTGAGCTCCGGCGCCAACAGGCGGGGTGGGTGGGTGGGTAGGCCTCGGTCTCTGACTTGATTGTCTTCATGCGGTAGGTTCGGGCCATCGATGCTTGCGGGCAACAACACTGGCAGCACGCGCTGAACCTGCTGTTCCCTCCGATGACGGAGGCCTTCCAGTTGGGGTCATTATATTGACAGTTTCTGGCTATCAAAGCCATTCAATTGTTTCTCTCTGGGTGACGTTGTATAATGATGGCAAGATCGTGACGCCAATTTCAAACCACCGCTCCGAAGCACCGCAATGGGAAGCTCAGTAGCTGTGCGCTTTGGCGTTGCCTTTGTTTTGCGGCCCTGCACTTGCAGCACCCAGACATGTTGAGTTTGTTGCACTCAAAAAACGGCTCCACTGGTAGTCTGGCTTCGCTGGAGATCTTACGGCGCACTCAACTTACCTCAACTTACACCCCCCCTCACTCAGAGAGCCCTCGGCAAGCTTACCGAGATTTGCGGGTTTAGCTTGCTGAGATTGCGGGTTTTGTTGGTTGGCCGCAACGGTGTTTCGTCAGGCCGACCGCCACCCTACCGAGGCCCTAATAAGGCCTTACTAAGGCGCCTTACCGAGACCTTACCGAGATTGAGGCCCTACAGAGGTTCTGGAGCACTTGCGCAAACACGTTTTGACGCCCAACCGAGGCTTTGGGGAACATGCAAAAACACGTTTTGAGGCCCTACCGAATGCTAGGCCCAGTAGTGGCTAAGTAGTGCTTCTTGGCTTCCAAGTGGGGGGGGGCTAGGGGGGGTATAAGTTTCATGATCCAAGGTAATTTGAAGCAAACCAAGCGACAATTCCGCCTTTTCTTCTTTGCGGCACTCCAGCTTACACCTCCCTTGAAATGCCAGCAAACTTGAAGGTGGCCAGGATTTGGATCAGGGCTCGCTTTTTGCACTGTCAGTCAAAGGCCGCCGAAAAGAAACTTAACCTTTTTGCTCACAGAAGGGTGGGTCTTTTGGCAGACATTTCTCCTGCATGGTACTTGTCTCAAAACCGGCTCCCCCCCCCCCTAGCGTCTTCCACAAGAGGATTCCCGCAAAAGACACACCGCCGCCTTCCCCCGTCCATTCCCCACCCCCGGAAAGCCCAGAGCTGCCCAGAGCTTCCCGCGGTATTTGGAGGCGAACTGCTTCCATGCGGCGTTGGGCGCCTGTGTGGGGCACTGGCAGCAAGCGCTGCAGGTGATGTTCGAGATGCAGCGTTCTGGCAAGGGGGGGGAGGGTGGGTTGGGAAGCTAAGGGGTTAAAATGGTGCAGGCATGTTTCTCAGTTCTTTTCAGATGCCCCTTCAGGCGAGATCGAGCAGGGCGACATTGGGGAAGGGTCCCACCACGAATCCGCAGGTGCCGTTTTGGGTCACTTTGATTGAACACAGATGGGTTCTGCTGGTTTCAGTCTGGTTCTGACTTCTTTTTTTTTTTTTACCAGGGCCACGTATTTCTCGAAAGGACTCAGAGGATATGATGTTGACCGTGGATAAACAAACCTTGCGGATGAATAGAGGGGACTATTCATCCCGGGTTCCCATCAGCGCGTGCGCGCCTGCCGTTTCAACGCGAAGGGCCCTTTTTCCTCACGTAGCATTACTAGTGCAAGGTCTGCCATCAGGCTCCATGTGGCTCCATGCTGGGAATGTACACAAAGGGGGCTGGAAAGAAGAAGGGTTCCTCCCCAATTTGCTCTTTGGTCGTAAGCATCACCTTTTGGCCCGGTTTAAAGTGAGTGTCCTTTTCGAAGGGTTCATGTCGGGCGTCAGTCCCCGTTCCCCCACGTTGCGCCTGAGGCAGCTGCGTCTGAGACTTGGCGAAGCCGGGTGTCGCAAGTGGCGCGGGTTGGCGTCCGGAGGTGCCCTGTTTGCCGTTTTTCCATGGCTGAAAGCTCTGGTGCCTCTGAACTCACCTGTTCAAGGCCGAGCTTTTAACTTTTGTTCTTTTGGCTTCCCTGATTTGGTGCATTGCGTCGTCATGAAGCCAAAAGTTAACCTTGTATTTCTAGGACTTTTGGGCAACTGAGTGAAAGCTCCGGGATGGCTTGGAAGGGTGGAAGGAACAGATGTGGCAGACTTTGGGTTTCTCCTTGAAGGGTGGCTGGGGAATGTACTGGCTGCAGACAAGCCCGTAAGCAACGCGCAAGTCTGCGCATTTCTTGGCACTTGCCGCCAGGGAGCTGCGGAGTCGGATTCGGATCGGACCTGGCTGGGTTTTTGTGAAATTGGGTCCATTTCCTCGTGGTTCCCGTTTAAAACAATGCAAAATGGTATGATTAAAGCACACACGCACACGCACACACGCACACACGCACACACACACACACACAACCATGCCGGCAATCCTTGCCAATTCTCAGCACACAAGTGACGGCAAACGTTTGCGCTTCACTGTTGGTCGGTTCCCACAGATGTTCAAGCCGCAAGCGAGCAAGTAGGTCTTCGTTGTTCCTAGACTTGTGGTTTCCAAACGCAGATACCTGGTGCAAGGCAGGTTTAAGGCAGATTTGCCCTGCAACCTGAACAGAATTAGCCCTCACTGAGTGCCTCACAGGAAAAGAAAGAGTTCTCAACATTTTCTTTGGGGTGTAGTTCCCTTGAAAGCGCAATGTCGCGCGACACTTTGAGGGTGTCTTCCAGCTTGTCGGCCACACCCACCTTCCCGAGGCACATCGGTGGCGTGTCCTGGGGCACAGTGCTGCGCGCCATGCTCCTCGGAGGCGAAGAGGCAAGGGAGCCAACGTCAAAGCCTGGGGCAAGCGAAGGTTAGAAGGGGCCCCCACAAACCTTTTAGCAGCATGCTGCAACCAAAGCTCAATGGGTTTGGGGGCTCGGGCGTGTCTTGGTCTTGCGAATGAAGATCCAAAACGGAAACCTCGCTTTTGGAGTCGGCAGCCATAGGCACATGTTCTATCTTTTGGTCTATCTCTCTCTCTCTCTCTATATATATATCTGTCCGTCTTTCTACCGCTCCCTCTCTCTCTATCCCTCTGCCGGGGACAAACATCTCTCGAGCTCGCCTCGGCCGACAGCAGCATGTCCAACAGCAATCTTTGCCGCATCCCAGCCCCCGGCCTTGGTTGACAAATTCCCTTGAAACAGAAGCTCAAAAAGCATAAGGCTAGGGTTCTCTGCCTGTTTTTCTTCAAGCTCACACGGGGTAAAGTGAGCGAGCTCATTATGATGTAGGTTGTCCTTTTTTGGAGTCCCTCATTTCAGGTTTGGGGATTCCAAAGGTCTCGTTTAACCAGCACGCATTGAAGATAGTTTGGAGTGGGGCCAGGTGTCGCTACGCAAATGGAAGCTCTCGATGTCCACCTTAGTGTTGTCAATGCGGCTTGGTGACGTAGGATCCCATAGGCAACTCGAAAGACCCGCCTGTCTGGCCCGCTTCATTGGTGAAGCCATGAGCCGACCCAAGCCGGTGCACGGGAAACCCGATCCAACGCTTGAGACCGTTTTGGTGAGTTTGGCTGGTGAAAAGGACGAGGGCTGGACCTCCCTGAGTCCCAAAAGGGCAGCTGCGCCCTTTCCAACAATCAGAAGTGGCTTTTCAAAAGAATCAACGCCTTCCATAATAATTAGAGGGAGGTCGCAATATATAATAACGTAATAAGCTATCAATTTCTAATTATGTATATATATATATATGTATATTCATTCCGAAGGCCCGCGGCCCTTCTATTTTTCCAAAAAGCCTCGCCTGGAGGAGCTGGCTGCGAGGTACTCCGAGCAGCTCAGGCCAGTGAGTCCGGGATTTTTTTCACACGGCCCCCAAGGATCGAGCCTCAAGGATCAAGGGCTGCTGCAGTTTGGGGCACTACCTCAGTTGCAGGCTCAAAATAAAGTTGGGGCGGACTAACCCTATTTTATCTGATCAAATGGGAGGGGATTCAACCTTGTTTGGAGCCTCTAACGGGGTGGGCACTCCCAGTTGCTCAAAATAGATGCCGTCCTTTTTGAGCTCTTTGCTTTGGCTGGCGCCTCCCGAATTCGCTTCCCCAGAGACAATACGATGGCCGACGATGAGGGTGCATCGCTGTATCTCTGAAAGTGGATGCTTTTGGCGAGGGATGGGAATTCCCCTCGTCATTACAATTTCCACACAGCCTCAGTTGCCCTCAAACAAGTAAGGCTTAAGTGGATGCGAGCGGGCATAGATGCCATATAGCTCAACAACCAGCTTACAGCACCGTCGAGTGCAAGTTCATGCTCATAAGGTGTTGGTTGGGTCACGTTGGTGTTTGTTTGTTTGTTTGCTTGCTTGCTTGCTTGCTTGCTTGTTTGTTTGTTTGTTTGAATGCTAGCTGGCTCGCTGGCTCGCTGGCTCGCTGGCTCGCTGGCTCGCTGGCTCGCTGGCTTGCTGGCTTGCTGGCTTGCTGGCTTGCTTGCTTGCTTGCTTGCTTGCTTGCTTGCTTGCTTGCTTGCTTGCTTGCTCGAATGCTAGCTGGCTCGCTTGCTCGAATGCTAGCTGGCTCGCTGGCTCGCTGGCTCGCTGGCTCGCTGGCTCGCTGGCTTGCTTGCATGCAGGTTTATTGTTTTGATGGATTTGAAAGGATAGAGGGACACCCACCACTGGCCATGCGGCAAAATGGGCCGCTGGCCCCCGATTGGATGGTTGATTCCAAGTAGAAAAGGGGCCAATCGGGAGCAGACACAGAGATGCGCAGCCCCCCACGGTGAAGGGGGGAAAAACACGAAAAAGAAACGGCCAGACACCCCATGCCATCCCCAGGCGCCAGTGCCTGGCCGAGCCGCTGCCGGAGCTGCCGGAGCTCTGGGCCCAGGGATTGGCTCGCAGGTGAAGTGGCCGGGCGGGGGGTTCTTGGGGTCGCTTGGCAAGGCTTCGGACTCAATCCGCAAGAAACTGCAGGAGGCTCGTGGCTTCCCTTCAAATCGCGCTGGTGGATCAGGATCCCACCTCATAGGAGTGGCCTTTGGACCACGAGTGGTATTTTTCCCGTCACTCGAACCTGCCGCATCTAGGGGATGCATCAAGGTTCCCTGTGTGTGTGCTGTTGCCTTTCAATCCAACCGAGACGATTCGAGGCCGGTGCTGCGTGATGCTGGCCTTGAGGCCGGCGTGGCCATCTACCTTGGGCGTTGCAGTGCTATGTTGAGCCAGACGTCACTGGGTTGTGGGCGTTGACATGTTGATTGAGCGGTTGATATGGGGAAAAAGGTGTCTCCATGCTTTTCTTTCCGTTTTCCAGGTGTGCTTTTTTTTGGTGTGTGTGTGTGCCTGAAGGGAAAGGTCGGGCAACTGAGGGCTGCACGGAGGACAATGCCAGGAGATACCGATCAATTCAGTTCAAAATCTTCTGAGGGCCCTTGCAGCAGCAATTGAGCTTGCGAGTGGCTGAGGTGTGGCAAGGCCAAGCCAGAACGACCTCCTCAAAGAGCTGCAAAGAGGGGTCCCCACCGATCTGGCATTCTCAGGGGTTTTTGGCGGCTGGCCCCTTGGTTTTCAAAGAACATTTCTGCGAGGCGCAAGGTGGAGGGGTCCCTTGCAGGTCACAACAAACAAGGGCAGCACATGTAGCATATGTAGCGTATGCATCCTCCGCTGCTCCGGAGGTCGTGCAAGGCAAGGGCGTGCTGGCGGTTTTGAAGCCAGGGAATTGCACAAGCCCGGAGCCCAGCCGAGGTCACTTTCCTCAGCCATACCCTTTGGCTTTTGTTTAGGATCTTTCCCACTAACTTTCAGCAAGCGATCAACATGGAACATCGGCGGGTAAAGAGAAAGGGTCCGCTTTTGGTGGGAACGTGGGTCTGTTTTGCTACCTACCATCTTTAGGGCATGGGGTGGCCTACAACGTGGCCTAGCCCCCCCCGCAGCCCCTCTTTAGAAGGGCAATATTGCTGCATGCTCTAGAACACGTGGCACAAAATCCTTGTATAAACCTTTGATACGACTTTAGGGGTCCATGAAATGAACGAATAAGAACAAAGAACTCTTTTTGGCCACTCATGCAGTCTCGCCATGGCACTCGGTTTCCCACAGGCTGCCGGCCTTCCGCGCCGCTTCTCCGCTGAGGCGAGAGTGTGCTGGAGCTCTTCTCAGCACGGCTGCGCGCGGAGTTGGCGCAGCCTGGCTCAGGGCTGACGGCTGGGAACTGGGGGTAGCTTTGGGCCCGGTTCTCTGCCCAACCAACCTCCAGCCCTCCAACTTTGGCTTGGAACGAAAAAGAAAAAGCTGGGCTTCCAAGATTCCAAGGGCCGCATGCCCTTAGGTGATGAAGCATTGCGGATGACCGATGGCCCATGTGGTAGCTCAGAAAGGGTCGTTTGCCACGCGCTTCACCGTTGAATGTCCTGCATGCCTTTGCGGGGCAGGCTCAGGCTACAGCATGGCAAACGTTGCTTGTTGCAAGCCGTAGGGGAAAAAGAAGCAGCAAGTGCTTGGGCCTAGTTGCGGAACTAGTGCACGCACCAAAAAGTAACAACCACTTGGCATCTCATTTCCCCCGAAGGAAGTTGACCAGTCCCAGCCGCAAATCGTTTTTTTTCCTTCTTTTTTTCTTCTTTTTTTTTTTTTGTATGCGGCCCTTCGGTTCAATGCCATAGGTTTTGGGTCCGTTCTCGCGCCAGGTTTTGAGGTTCGCTTTTTGGGCCGGTTTTCGCGCCGGGTTCGAACCGGCGCCTCCGTCGGCCCACTTCCCAGCCGTCAGGTTGGTGTCTCGCCTGGACGCGGGCACCAGCGGAGTGCTGCCGCTGGCCGTGGGCCGCGGCGGCCGGCGCTGGCTGGAAGCCCAGTTCGGGGCGCGCCAGGCCGGGGAAAAGGGGGGGGGGGAGGTTTTGTGGGGGCAGGTGGGGGGGGGGGGGGATTTTCCCGGCCACTCACAAAGGTGTGTGTGAACATTGGGAGGGTCTCCAGAATCTTCCTTTTGGTGAAATGTGTTTTTTTTTGAATTTATTATCACTGCTGGACTTTGTTCAGGGGTAAGCAAAGAAAAGAGATGGTGGCTTGCCTTGGTTCCCCTAAGAAGGGAGCCCTCAGCAAAACGGGAGCCGCACACCGGGAGGCCAGGTTTCCTTCCCTAGTCTCACAATTGGAAGTCGTCCATCTGTGGCATCCTGCTTTTCACTGCCAGGCGTCGTCCATTAAATTGCCAAAGGCGGCAACCAAAGAACCCACCATGTGGCATGTGGACAGTGGCTCTCACGGGCCACGGGCCTTCACTGCCTGTGCGCACTCCCAATCGGCTTCCGAAAGCAGACCGAAACCGCCCCGAAAGCAAAAGGAAGACGCTCTTTTGGATGACTGGCAGCAAAGAATCCCATGTTCTGAGACACCGGCCAACGTGGAAGCCCTCCAGGTTTGAGCAACTTCTGAGCCAAGGGGGTGCCGCGCAGTCACGCAGCCGGCCCCTCAAGTGACAGACGGAAGCTCACCCTCAGTCCCGCGTAACTAGCTGGTTCGGGAAATCCGGTTAGGACCCGTAATCCAGACAGCTCCTGGCGGTCTTTCTTTGGTTCAAAGAGATAAGCTATCGATTGGGGGTCACCATGGGCAAGCGATCCGTTAGCAACTGATGCAAGATATCCAGGCAGCTGCCAGCGTTACTTGTCGCTGCCGTCACTTTGCGATTGCTGTTGTGGCTTTGTAGCTGCTTGCTTTTGCAGCCGTGGCTGTTGCGGCCCCTTTCCAGCAGCCACAACTGAACATGCGCGGACCAACGGGTGTATCTTGTCCAGGCATCGATTCCGCCGCTCCAGGTCCACAAAGAGTACATCTGCCTTTGCGCCGGCGAGAGCTTTGGTGCAGAAGGCCAAGTTCGCCGTTGTCCCGAGCTAGGGCTTGAGTAAACTCTAGAAAGGTGGTGTGAGTGAGGCGCGTCGGTCGTCCGGAACATTTCAAGTCAGGTTGGGGGTCAACTCCTTATAGTAGGCGTGTACGCATTCTCTTTCATTACTGTTCTCAGCAGAATCATTCCTTTTCTGATTGGCTTTGATCCTGCTTCATTCCATGAAAGACTTGGCGCGGCTGAGAATGGATAGCCCCCTGTTTTCATCGAATTTCAGCAGCCAATGGATCCGTTCCGATGCAGAGCCGTTTGAGGCACTCGCTTCTCCATAGACACGCCCCTGCTGCTGCGGGGGGCCTGAGTCACAGGCTGCTTCCGTGCTGCCGCCCCATCAGCTCCTTTGGGGCTGTGTTGGGGTGCCCCTTCCGCTTGCCAAGTGGGCTGCGGAAGCAGACGAAAGATGGCTGGGTTCCACTCTACAACGAGAAAGGCAGGCTGCTGCAATGAAAGCAAACTTCTCCTGTTGACCCTCTCAATGTGATCATGTGTGTTTCGTGTGCGCCGGCCCTCGCTGTTAATTTCTTTGCACATTCAGGCAAAACCTTTTGGGTTGAATTGCCTCCATCCCGGAGCTGTGCTCTTTCCAGTGCACCCACTACGGGTCTAGAATTATCAGGCAGTCGGGCGGGTTGCTCACATTTCCCTCGACGTCTCCGCATCTAACGCCCGACTCGTTTGCTCGTGTCTTGTCGTTTTGGTGCCTGAAGCAGCACCTAGGTTTGGCAAGGGTTACACCTCCGAAGTATCTTTGGCCCTTTAAGCGGCGGGGTGGGCTCATGCACTAGGTCCAACAGCTGGCATCAGTGCGCCCAGCCCCGCGTGGTTCCTTCTCCGGAGGGCAAAGAGGCCGGGGGGACAGCAAAACGCTTGGAAATGCCTCTGCCATGTCAGCCCTATGTCAGCCCTATGTCGTTTGTTTGGGAGGAGGGGCCGCGGCAACTAGTCAGCCCGACGCACGTCCTGCTGGACTGTTCTACTCATCAGCCGGAGCCATTGCACGCCGCAGGCGCGCACGGAGGTCGAAGTCCTTGAGATGTTCGATCCGCTTCGCGAGGACACGGAGGCGCGAAGGTGCAGCTGAAGCCCGGAAACGTCGCAAGTGCGGAGCAGGAGCGTATCATTTCTAACATCACTGTTGACTTGCAAATATCAAGGAGCACTGGAGGTCTACGCTCGGTTTGGTCGATTTGCTTGCCGGTCATTCAGCCGAGCAACGGTTGCGCTGGTCGGGCGCAGGGCATTTGGGATGGCGGGTGGGTTCGCACCGCCAGCAAAGTGCCAAGTGGACACTTGGACTTGGGGAGGAGGCATTCGTGGTTTATTCATTTTGACTTCCTTTTGAAAAGGTCCCCAAAAAGCCCCCACAAACTTGCTGTCAAAGGCAACTTGCATGGAATATGAACTTGCGGCTGTACTGCGGCCTTTTGCTGGGCTTCAGACACAAGTTTACGGATTCATGCCCACACACACACATGAATATATATATATATATATATATATATATATGAATATATGCAGGTCATGCGGGTCATGACTATATATATATATATATATCTACATGCAGGCCTGCCAGGAGGTTGAAGACGAGCATACCGCGCCATGATGAAGGGGCTCCTTCTTTCCGGTTGGTGAATGGTGATGCTTACGGATTCTGACATATGTATATATATATATACACGGCCTGTTGGACTTTTGGCAGGCCGTCATGCTGTTGGCAGTGAGCCCGCTCACGGGCCGGACGCACCAGATCCGCGGCTTGCCTTCCCGAAGTAGGGGTGGCTTCGGGGCTTCGGGGCATCGATTTCAAGGGAGCGGGTTCCATATATCTTGTTGGTTCTCAGGGAATGAGTTAGAATGATCCCAAGAAAAAACAACCCCCTATTTGGTTAGGGTCATTCCCATAACCCGGAAGGTCATTCCCAAGCAAGATGTTTTCCTTCCCTTTTGGTGGATGGAAACAACACCTTTTGGCCGTACTCACCCACTATAGTCTTTTTTTGCCACGGCCACTGGCCGGCCACCGGCCACTGGCCACCAGCACCAATCGTGACAGATCGGCCCTCATCTTTTGCTGCATTCTTGATGTCGTTGATTGTTCGCATCGGTCTCTAGGCCAGCTAGTTGGCCTCTTTCATTTTCATGCATGCCTGCCTTCTTCCTTCTCCCTTTGCATTCTCCTTCTGACTCCTTCTCCCCATGCATTCGAACAAACGCACTCGTCAGCGAGGCCCAAGCCCAGCCACACGCAGGCACGCAATCGCACGAGCTTCTTCTTCCACAATTGGTGCATCCAGCTTTCTTTTGCTTTCACTTGCCAGATTAACGCGGGATGGTGCCTGAGGAACTCAATTCGAGCAGAACCGTTTGCCCAGACTGCCGCTCTCCCCTGGTTGAAGCAAGGCCTTCTGGACGTGCAGCGGTATGCGCGCATGTTGTAGCTGAGCCTGAGCCACAGCCTCGTCCTGCACCTGTCCCGGGGTTGCCCGCGTGCCTGCCGCCGAGCCACCTATTGGTGTGGCTTTGTCACGCTCTTTGGGCCGGACCTTTGGGAAAGGGGCCGCAAGAAGGATGATCTCCCGGATCCAACATGTTTTTTTCTAGCCCCTTCCAATGGCAAGACCCGTGCTTACCTTCGGCGGTGGCGTTGCCGTCTCTATCTGCACAGGGCCAGGTTTCTGGCTGAAGCCGTTCTGCTGCGGCTCATGCACTCCCACATCCGCATTCGACCTCGGGAGCAGCTGCGTCAAGTCTGGGCGTGGGAAGTTTTGCGCCGCCGCGCCTGTGCGGCTGGGCTTGGCGATGTCTTTGCTGAGCGCGCTCTCAATGGCCCTCTCGAAGAATTGATAGCAGGCAGGAGCTTGGGTGTGGGGCCCATTCAGATCTTTGTCTTCTGGCCTCTTGAGCAACTTTGTCCGCCCGTTCCCTTTTCTTCTTCGCCTGTTCTGGCACTGCCCTGGCCGAGGCAGCTTGGGCAAACCGCCTAAAAAGTTGCTTTTAACAAAACGCCCGCAATTTCTCAACATAGCGCACGCGGGGCGCCTGAGGGCACAACTCACCATGATCAGATCTGTCACAGCAAGAGCAGTCTGGGTCGCTTACACGGCTCCTCACTCACCTCCGGCTGCTGCGTTGGCGCTGCAGCGCCTCGGCGCGGGCCAGAAAACACAGCCAGCCGCACCTTTGTTGGCATAATTCTAAGTCCCAAACAAAACAAGAGGCACGACCAGGCCGCAGACAGGCCACAGGCCGCCTGCCAGGCCACCGGCCGCGCCAAAAAAGAAGCTATCCCCTACTCACACGTCCTTTTTGGCCGTGTTTCCTTTTGTTGGGGTGATGTTTAACGGGGAAACATAGGGAGCCCTGTATCAAGGGACCCGTACGGGTTCCAAGAAACGGGTTCCGGTTTGCTTGCGCCAAAGGACCATCATGTGCGTGGCATCCTACCCGAAATTTCAAAATCAGAAGTAGCATGCGCACTCAGCCCAAATCAATCAAAAGGGTTAAATGGGAAGGGGGGGGGTTCAGTTTTGTCTTCTGGCTATGCAATGCCCGCGTTTCGCCCTTGGAGTGAGCAAAGCCCTGTTTAATTAAAGGATAATGGACAGCAGGGGATAGCCCCAAGCATCAATGGGCGCGCAACCCTCTTATTTGGCAGTGGGTCAAAAATGTGCACCCAAAATTGGAACCCTGACAAAGCATGGATTAAACCTGAGGTCCCATGGTTTAATTTTGACTCATACCCGTTTCTTTACATGGATTACCCTATTTTGACAGGTTTCTTGATTGCGACCCTTGCATGAGGCGCCCACTTGTCCAGCCTGGGGCGGCCTTTGGTGGGGGACCGCCTCTATGGGGATAAGTCCAGGCGGGAAGTCGAGTGAGTCGAGGTGCTGCTGCTGACTTTGGATGTTTTCTTTCCCGGCGTCCATGATTAAACCCAATGGAGGCTGCTTCAATTTATTTAGGTTGTATTGCTGGAGCTTCCTTTGGAGATTGGCTTTGGCTTTCCGTTTGATGTACTACTGGATTTCAGCTCCTGATTTTTGGTTCCAAGAAACACGTATTGCTGGATTTGAGCTTTATTTAGTATTTCTGGGTCTGGTTTCCGTTTGATGTATGTAGTATTGCATCCTCCTCTTCTTTCTTGCTTCCTCTTCCTTATTGTTTTTTTTTTTTTTTTTTTTTTTTTTTTCAAAACCTTCTTTCAGTTTTTGATGTTGGGTAATAGAACCACACTTTAATCCGGGTGGGGCTGGATATTGGGTGGGGCTGGAAAAGCATTAGTTGCAGGGCATGGGTATGAGGTGTGATCCATGCACTTCTAGGGACAGCTGGTCGCCCAAGCTTTGCCCCAGAATTGCCTTGTGATTGACGCGCGGTGGTTGTTAGGGGTAGGTTCTTCGGGCGACCCCCTGCAAAGGACATCGCCGAGGCCGTGGGGGTACTCATTTTCCCCGGTCCGGCCCATGCTGGGAGAATTGTTTCTCAGGAACAAAAATGGAGGCTAATTCAGGGCAGGTGTGAGAGGATCTGAAGAAAGTTGGCTTGGAATCTTGGGACCTGCCGCAGGCTCGGGAACTTTTCTGGACTGGAATTTCTGACGCTCTGTTTTAAGAGAGGAAACCCGGCAAAATGCTACTTCTTGACCAAGCCCCAACAAAAAGGGCCCTTCAGAAAACATCATATCCGCGCGTGCGTTTGTTGTCTGTGTGTGTGTGTGTGCGTGCGGGCAACACGGCCCCCATAGGCTTTGTCTCCCAGCCGGATTTGGAACTGCCGAAATGTGCTGCGGTTTCTGTTTGGCTTTTTTTAAACCAACCTATCACGGGACTCCTATCTCGCGTGCCCAAAGGGTCAAAAGATCTAGGAAACCAAGAGGCTAGAATTCCAAACAAACAGGCCTACCCGGACCTTGTACCTGCCCCTAAACATGCGCATTTGCGCATTTTGAATCCACAGAGTCCGGCTCCACCTCCAATTTAAGGACACCAAGCGCTCAGATGAGTTGTCCCCGGGGCTGACCTTCCAACTTCCGCGAGGCTCGGGTGCCGGGTCTTCCTCCACTGCCGGCGCCTGCGGCTGCTGGACCTCGCAGGGGTCTTCAAGGCGGAGTTCCAGCTGCCGGAGGCAGATTCGACTCGTGTTGGCCGGGGGGGGGGGGCTGGGGGGCTGGGGGGAGGGTGGGGCGGGAGTCGGCGGCCGTTTTTTGTTGTTGAGTGGGGTGGGGGTGGGGGGTGGAGAGGGGGTTGGCTGCTTTTCTTTGTGTTTTTGTTTGGGGGGGGGGGCATCGAGTTAATGAAGGCAAAAAGGCGCACGCTTTGTTCTTCTTGGAGTTTCTCAAAATGGGACTCGGAGTTTTAAGGGGAGCCAACGAAAACCAGCCATTTTAGAAAATTGACTCCAAGGAGCAACACGAGAAAAACAAAAAAAAAAAGTACAAAGCCAGCGCTATGTGGGAGGTTTATAGGCCCGTCTGTAGCCAAACAGCGATAGTCAAGCAGGGGGGTGTGATGTTCAAAGTCTTGTTTTAAGCATATCTAAGCTTTTGTTTTTCAGAGGGGGGGAGGGGTTGGGGGGTTGGGGGATTGGGGGGTTGGGATTTAGCTTCTTTTTTTCCACATGGGTTTGGCCATGTTTAAGCCATGTTTTTTGTGTCAACAACCTTTTGGTTCCCCCCCAAAGCAAATTCAAGTGGTGTCCTCGGCCAAAGAGAACACAACGGCACCTTGAATCTGAAGTAGTGGAGATACTTTCGAGGGAACACTTGTTTCCGTCTTAGCTTGCAGGGGGGCAGGACCACTGGACCACTTTCTGTGACACCAAATCGTTCTCCCTTCGCACCAAGAAGTGAAGGCACCTTTGCGAGCCGCGCATGTTCAACTTGCCTGGATACAGGTTGCACCCGACAAAGACATCAACTTTGCTGTCAAAGGGACGCTGGGGGGGGGCTCCAATAAGCGGCCGCCCGCCCGCGTAGGACCTGCGGAATGTCCTGGCCAAGCTGCGGGAAAAAGGGCGCTGATGGGACTGAGGGGTGGGCCACCGTTCGGGAACCAACCAGCCATCCTGCAACCGATTACTGTCAAGGACTCTGCGCGCACGGTTACTGTTGTGTGTGTGTGTGCGTTTTCTTCTTGTAGCCTGTGTAAAAGCAGGGATGGACCCTCGTTTTCTAGAGTATCCACTAAAAACTGCACATGTTTCATGCTTCCTTCCGCGGTCAAACGCATCCGTTCAACCACAACGAATCAGCTACAAGCTAGGGTACATACCAGGCGTCCATACATTGCGCCTTTGATCCATTTGCTTCAGGAGTGTTCTGTTTTCTTCCCTGTCAAACAGGTGTTCTGGTCAAACAACGGAACCCCTATTCTCTTGTTCTTGTCTTTCTTTCTTTTTTTTGGGGGGGGGAGCTCATATTTCCAAGAGGTGTGGACTACAAGAACCGCTGGGTTTTGGGTTTCGCGACTCCATGTCAACCTGGGCGGCTGAGGCCGCTGACGCCGAACTCTGCACCGCCGGAGTCACCGCGGCCTGGCAAAGTCTGAAGATCCAATTCTTGTTTCAGTGGGACGCGGTCCAAAGGCACGAGATGCGGAATCTGGTTGCAGGATTTTCAACATGTTGGGCAACTTGCAGAAAGATTCAAACTATTACCCTTGCCCACCAGACCAAAAGATATGCTACGATCTGTTGGAATCCTCCGTTTTTTTTGGGTCCCCCCAACTAAAGTGGAATCGCCAAGGTCATGGTTCCCTTTTTCTCGCGTCAAACTCCACCTTTCGGACGAAGCTATGGCGATCTGGTTGCTGGGCACTTTTGATCAAAGTTATGCACAGGTGATGTACTAGGGGAGTGTTTTCAAGTTTCCCTCTAGAACAGGCAAAATATGCAAGCAAAAAGACAGCGCATCATCGCTGTTGAATGGCGCTTATGCCACTCCTTTCCCCTTCCCGTTGAATACAGCAGGGAAGGTCACACACACACAACTTTTGTCCCAGGGCTTTGCTGTCGGGCAGGTCCCTGAAGTCCCGACACCCCCGACCATGCAGGAAAACTTTGCTTTTTGCTTTTTGAAGGACATCTTTTTTTGCACGGCCACAGGGCCACAGCGCAAGGAAGACAAACAAGTAAATCCTTTTTGTCCGCCGCGTGTGGCCCTTGCACACACACAGCTGTGCAAGGACAAAAGGTGGCATGAAGCGCAACAACAGCATGACTCGGCTTCCGGACGAGGCGCGGTAAGTGGGAAGGGCTGGCCATCAAACTATATGGGTGTGTTTGTTATTTGGGGGGTACCCGCTGTGGGGTTGGTTTGAAGGGACACCATCGGGAAGCGACCAGTTTTGGGGGTTTGAACCCCCATTTGGACGCCAGGCCTTGTCTGGGCCGCCCCTCAACCAGCAGGAGTCATCCTCTTTGCGTCGGCGCGTTTGGAAGGAGAAGGCGCAGCAGCAACAGTATTAGAAGTAGAAGTAGACGTAGAGGTAGAAGTAGTCGTGGCCGAAATCGTCGTTGTATTCATCGTCGTCTTCGAAGCAGCAGTAGCAGCAGCATCGGTAGCGGCAGCAGTAGCACTAGCAGTAGCAGTAGCAGTAGCAGTAGCACTAGCACTGGCACTGGCACTGGCACTGGCACTAGCAGTAGCAGTAGCCGTAGCAGTAGCAGTAGCAGCAGCAGTACCCTTGTTCCAACCTCAAACTACTGGGGGGGCCTTGAGGTTTCGGGATCAAGGCTGGGGCATCCCACCTTGGGCTGGTGCAATCGTGAGGCCCCTGTGGCAGAGAAAGGCTACGCGGTGGAGCAGCCGCCCTGGCCTTGGAGCCAGGGGGCGGCTTTTTGCCTCGCGGCGTCCTTTTTTGTTCTTCGATGGGGTTCAACAATTCCCAGCGTTGGGATTGGTCATTCCGACATTCCCTTGAGTTACCCACTTTTGGGTATTTTGTTTTATTCCGTTGAAAGGAGGGCTCGGAACTGGGAGGTTGGGAGTTGCGAGATGCGAGTTCGTCTAGCTGCCTGCGGCCAGGCACTGTGACCTGCGGGCCTACCTGGAACTCCATTCTTGGAAGCTCAAAATTCAAGGGGCCATTGTTGTTCCCAGACTGGTTTTATTTTGTTCCACTCTGCCAGGGTTATCAGCTTGCAGCTGTGGACGTGGACTGCAGGCCTGCTGTCCGCCCTGGATCTGCCAATCGGAAACAGGGTGGGCTGCTGACGTCGCCATCGGCATGTTTGGGGCGGTAGCGCACCCCGAAGTTGGTGTGGAATGGACGGTCGCGACTCCCGCGGTGAAGGGCCAGCCTGTTTTTGGGAGCGTTCCCGCTTGTTATTCAAGGGGTTCCAGCGCGGGTCCTATGTGGATGGACGAAATCCAAGTCGTACCACCTCAGAACACCTGGAATGATGATTCCCCCGTAGATACCAACAAACCATGGTTTACCATGGTTTCAAAGTGGTGCAGGATTTCGTCCACCCACAGTAGTCGTCATGCCTTGCAGGCTTTCCATGAGGGCGGTGTTTGTGAGGCGCAGATCAGCATGGCACCCCTCCCCCTCCGCCCCCCTGCCTGAAACGAGCCCCGCGGAAGCACGTCCTTTTGTAAAATCTCGTATTTTGGGATAACCATGTTGGATGGGATTTGGTACCACGTTTCGAGGCAAAACCAACCACCGGCCTTTCGCCAGGCTTCCGATTGAGTCCATCAACAGCGCGCCTACAGGACAGGGAAGAAGATTCTTCCCATCCCTCCAGACGGCCCCTTCAGTAGGCGAGAGACCCGTGCAGGCCATTGCTCAGTTCCTTTGCGCGCGGTGCGGCCCCTCTTTCTCTTTTCGTTTGTGGCCTCTGAGATCCTTCGGCTGATCTTCTTCAGGCCAAAAGCCTGAGTCTGAAGCTAGCCTGCGCGGTGCCCTTTTGCTCCTGGATGTTGGACAGCCTGGCGCTTCGCTTTTGTCACATGCTGGATTTTTGTTGCGTTCCTCGCAAGGAGGCGGCTACGCGTCGCCGACGCAGGAGTGCAGAGTTGGAGAGCGAAGCTGTCGGGAGATCGTGTAAAGCAGAAGGGGAGTATTGCAGGATCAATACGCCCTGTCAGTGGGGGAGGCTCGGAGCAACTAAATCCCCAGCGAGGATCTGCACCTTCCATGCAGTTCAGTGATGGATCAACAATCCCCCCTTCTTTCAATCAGAGGTCAGCGAGTGTTTTGAGCGTAAAGCTAGCAGGGCGACGTTGAGGGGGCGGGGTTCCAGTTTTGAAAACCATTGCCGCACGATCTTTGGTTTTGGTACGTTCCAGCCGGGCTGAAGCGGGCCGATGAGGGATGCTTGCACCAAAGAAGAATCATGTGTGTGTTTGGGCGTTGTTTTGAGGGTACCATTTCTGGCGGTTCCAACAAGTGAAACCCACAGGAAAACCACCATTTTGCGGGGAGAGGGGAGGGGGGGTCTCCCAAAAACAGACTTAGATTTATTTAGAGCCTCATGTGAAACGGGATCCAACCCTCGGGGGCGGCGCAAGAGTCATCTTCCGATGTCGAGACCAGAGCGAGGTGGCGCATTGTGCGGGCTGGAAAAGGCGTGGGGTTGAAAGATGGAATCCCTGGAAGGCCCAGGAAGATTTGGGAGAACCCCTGCGTATGGTGTACTTGGGTTCAGCCTTTTTGAACGGAACCCCGTGCAAGCCGACGCCAGAACTCCCCAAGCCGCGGCAGCAAGAAGACCGCCTCTGGCGCCTCGGCGGGCTATTCCCTCGAATGGCGAATTGCTCTTCGTGCGGGCGAGTAAGGCGTGTCGTCTTAGGGCACCCCTTTGGGGTTGGCCGAAACAAATGGTTTGGCGCACAGGCCCCTTCAAAGAAAAGTTATAGCAGTTGGTTCCACATTTGGAGGTTCCAATGACGGTAAGCGGGATCAGGCTGGATGCTTTACGCTTTGCTTGGAGCTCTTGCTGTTTCCAGGGCATGTTTTCTTAAACGCGTCAGGGTTGTGCGCGGGCAAGTGACTCGCGACACTCAGCGTTTGAGGGGGCCTTTGAAGACTGAGGTGCCACGACTCCTGGCGGCATGGTGCGGCTGTCAGGGTCGCCCAGGTTGGGACAATTGTCTCGGGCGCAGCGCGGGTCTGTTGCGACGGAAGAGCGAGAGCTGGGGAGGCAGCTCGCTCTGAGGCCGGACGAGCCATCTGCCACCGAACCTAAGGTCCAGGTGCGGATGGGCTGAAGCTCACTTGAAGCCCACCTTTAGACCCTGCAGTCCCTTCGTTTGGTCTAGTTTATGTCACAGCTCCAAAAGGTTGCCCCGGCCCTCTTAGAGCGACCAGTTTTCAGGTGATGTTAAACTTCCATGATTCGAATGGGGGAGGTAGCTTCCTTTCTCCAGGTCACTCTGGCAATTTTTATGGCGAGGCTCTATCCGGATCCAACAAGGGGGGGATCTCAAAACGGGGACGGGGGGGGGTGGGCTCCAACATACACCTGCTTAAATGACATGAGGGCAAAGGAGTGCTGGGGTTTTGAGCTTGGGCTTGATCAGCTTGAAGTTGTTTGGCCATTGGGATTTGGTCAGCCGGGTAGTAACGTGGCAGCAAGTGATCGCCAAACCTGCGTGTATAGTCCATATGGTGCCATCACAAATCCTTACTTGCATAAAGTTATCGTACATTTTCTAAACAGTCCAGGAGGTTCTGACCACCTCTGCTATGCTGGAAAAGCATTTGTTCCACTTCCATGTAACCCAAAAACCTTAAAATTCCTTTAAATCCTTTGAACGGTCCGCGAGGTCATATGACCCCCCCCTACTATCCGCCAATTTAACATGGTTGTTGTTGAGAAACATTCCACATCTTTGCTTCTTCTGGTTCAGTGTTTGAAATCCAACCACTGAACTGCGAAGATTTGAGAATTTTTGCTCCCCTTGCAACGTCAACCAAGTTAGAGTTGGTGACTCCTCGCTGTCGCTTCGCAGCTCTTCGCCAGGAGGAGCCTGAGAAGAAGAGCGGCATGTCCAGGGCGAGGGACAGACTTAGCGCGGCGGCCCGGCTTCTGGGGGCTTCCGGGAGGCTGAGCCTTGGACATGGCACCTGCTTCGGGGATTTTGGTGGGGCTCTTGGCAACTTTCCGAAAAGAAGGTCGTAGGTGTAGTCTAGTATTGGTGTAGGTGGCGGGTACTACTACCAACCTTCTCCCCCCCAACAAAAAAAAACAAGAAAAGAAAAAGAAAAGCAGGCAAAGAAGAAACGAAAAGAAGAAGAAGAAGAAGCGAAAAAGGTTCCCAAAGTTGACAGCCATCGGGCAGCCCTGGCTTTTGCTTTTTCTCCACAAGGGGGCTGCTTTGTATCCGAGAGTGGCCAGAGATGCTGAGCCCATTTGAGCTGCGATTACCTTGTTTCCGGTCTAGGTGTCCCTTCTTGTGTGGAAGTGTCCTGAAATGTGGCACTCCTCAAAATGGTTGCTTCCTTGCAGAGTCCGGCCGGTCCCTTCACAATCCTTTTGGTCCCCCACCCGAAGACCCAAGGCGCACGCGAAACCGCACGTGCGTTGTCGTGCGTTAGGCAAGAACCTCTCCATCGCCATGCCTGTGAAGCCCCCGGAGTCGGCGACAAAGAAGGCATGGCTTGAGAGCCCTGAGATGAAGGCCTCCGCTGTGCCCCCAGCTGAAGCCAATGGGGTCCATAGGCCCAGATAGGCTTTGGGGTGGTTTGTGGCGGCTTTCAGGGAGGGTTCAAAGGGAGGGTTCAAAGGGAGGGTTCCAGGCTTAGCTTATCCGCTGTTGCGGATACCGCCTGGGCTTATTTGATTGGGTTTCCCTTCAAGATGAAAGGCAAGCGCTGAGGGCCGTTGAGACTCGTTCCTCGCCAGATTGACAAGATCTTCCGCACGCTCAAGCCCGGCGCTGCCCCCGGTTTTGGGGGTGGGAGGCATGTGCGTGCCTTGTCATCAGGGCCCTGACTTCAATCGGCAGTTGCCCAGTTTTCCCGCAAACCCTTCCGATTTTGGACCCTTTCCTGGGTTTAATTGGGGCCGTCGGTTCATTGTGCGACCCCTGAATTTTTGCCCATGGGCTCCGACATCGGGTGCCACACACATGGTGTGCGAACGCGAACGGCTCCGAAATCGGATGCCACACACACACACACACACACACACATGGTGTGCGAACCCGACAGCCTGCGAGTCGGAGAAAAAAAGACAAGAAAAAAAGGGAAGCCCGAGCCCGGGCTTTTAAAGGAGAGTCGATCAACAACACCTACAACTTCGAAGAGGAGATCTACAGCGGCGGCCTGGAGCCGAGCCGTGTGTTGAGCGGCAAGGGCCAAGTAGGAAGGCCAAGCCCTGAAGGGTCCCCAGTTCGGTGCCTGAAGTGGGCCGGACGGACGAGTTTTCAAGACCTCTCAAAAGCGGCTTCAAGCTTGAAATTGCCTGTTTCGCCTCAGCTCACGGTTGCACAGGCTGCAAAGGCCGCGTCTTGGCCGGTGCCCCAGAGATAGCCGGCCCTTGGGCTGGGCGGTCCCGCTCCAAGACCGCGGGCCAATGCACGCCAAGAGAATGAGCGGAGGGGAGTGGCCTCGACCTCACTAGTTTCAAAAATGAGAGCCTCAAAACCATGGGTGCGTGCCCAATTTTTAGGGCAGCTACTTTTTTTTCTCCAGTGCCACTCTTGTCAGGTCCCATGATGTTTCCATATTTGCGGGAGCGAGCCTCGCTTCCTTTGCCCTGGCCTTCCTGCATTTCCGGCGCGACGGCGCCCAGCAACTTGCCACTTGCGGCTGGCAGCTTCGAGCTGAACCTGCCAGAAAGCACGGCAAATGAGCAAGCATGGCCGAGTTGCCCGCAGAAAAGGTGGAACATGCGACTTCCTTTCTTGGCCATTGATTTAGGCAATCATCCCTTTTGGATTCTGTTCAAGCCTGGTTGGTTTCAATTACCAGCAGTTCTGCGGGTTGACTGCCAGGTAGGTTTGCCCCTCCCCCCCGCCCCCACCCTGCTCCCCGATGGCACGATTCGGAATTCAGATGGCCTGAGGTTGCAAAGCGAAAAACGGACGGTCAGGAGGTTGCCGGGGGCCAAGGGCAAGCGAAATTCGTCTCATAGACTAGCACCACTTGTCGCATTTCAGGGGATTAAATGCACCCCGCGATTTGGCACGTTCATTTTTCTGGGTTAACCTTCTGTTTGCACGCACCCGCAGACACACATTGGCCACATAGGACATGCACGTTTGCCAGGAAGGTGAAGATTAAGTGCCACAGAAACGCCAACTTCAGACCGGGATGGCTGGAGCAAATTCCGCTGGCTCTGGTTTTGCTGCGAGTCGGAGGGAGGAACCTGATCTTATGGGGCCGGGCAGGACGTTGCTAGCGGCCCTCGAGGTGGGGCATTGCATGCGTCCCAAGGGTTGAACTTGGCACTGGTAAGTCAGGGCTGCATTCTCGGGCCCGCATTCCGCGGGTCTTGAAGGCATGCCGAGTGCCAAAAATGCCAAGACCTGAGGTCGTGAAGATTCGTGCGAAGCAGAACAATAGGCCGGGAGGGTGCACTTCTCTTGCGGAGCCAAGCCAGTAGGTGCCCTAGCCTCAGATGTGTTTTTGCGGCAGGCCTATTTTTGCAACCGAAGGTTAGGACGCCCCTCCAACTACAGGAGGCACCTAGAAACAAACCTAGCCCAGGTCGATTGACATTGTATTGCCAAGCATTCCTCGGGCCATGTAGGTGTTCGATGTGATTTAGTATTGCTAGAGTTTCTTGTTGAGATTGGATTTGAGGGACTTTTTGACTTCATATGGCTGAATTTGAGTTTCCATTTGTGTTAGTGTTGGTGGATCTTCCTTTGAGATTTTGATTTGAGTTTCAATTTGATGTAGTATTGGTGACTTGAGTTTTGATTTGATTTAGTATTGCTGGAGCTTTCATTTGAGATTATGATTAGTATTGGCGACTTGAGTTTCCAATTGATGTAGTGTTGCTGGGGCATCCTTTGAAGCTGTTGATTTGCGTTTGATTTGGTTTCGTATTAATCTTGAGCTTCCATTGGGCTTAGTATTGCTGGGACTTGTTTTTTAGATTTTAATTAGCCTTTCCATTGATATAGCGTTGGTGAGTATTGCTAGAGCTTCCGTCTGAGGCTTTGATATGAGTTTCCATTTGAATTGGTATTCACCAACTTTAGCGTTACTCGTGACCAACTTCTCCACGGTTTTGGGGCACGTGGAAGGTAGAACCTCCAGTTCTGAAGCAAACCTGCGGGTGAAGTCGGGTCAGAGGGCCCAAAAGCCTTCCATGTGGCGATGCGCGCCGGGCCTGCCCCCCCAAAAAGAAAACAAAACATGCCAGATCATGTCTGGCAGGGGGCTTGGTGAGTTTGAACTGGAACGTTGCAGCTGTAAGTTTGTCTTGGCTTGCTCTTTCCTTTGGGATGTGCAATTTGCACATTTTCAGGCCTGGCGCTCGGCGACGCTCGCGATGCATCCGGCCGCGCAGGATGAACGAGCGGAACTGGCGCACCATCATGGCCCAGATGCACGGGATCTCCACCAGCTTGGGCCCTTGGAGCACATGGCGACTATGGGGGGATCCGACCAATGTTTTCCAGGTAAGTCTTGGAAGCTTCTCGGTTGGCTGGCCAGCAAAGGGTTCCATGTGCTTTGCTTGCGGCGCTCAGAAGCCGGCCCTTGGACATATATGTGGCTCTTGGGGCCCAACGGCTGTGTTCTTCTTCCTCCTTTGGAAGAAGGGGGAAGATCCCCCGGTTTTTGACTGGCATTCTCACATAAAACCCGGTGGTCCTTCTGAAAGGGGATGAAGGGGGGTTTCTTTGGTGCATGTTGCTTGGATGTTAGGACTTTTAACTTTTTGCAAACTAATGGGTTTTCCATTAAACCACTAAAAGTTAAACTTTAGCAGGGGAGCCGAAAGCAACCGAGGTTTTGTGTGGACACAACACAGATTTGGCTGGGGGGTTTTCTTAGGTGACCACGTGCTGGGTTTCTCCGAGATCGTGGAGGGCGAGAACGAGTTCTTCGCCGCTTGGCTGCGCGCGTGCAAGCGCTTGCGCCGGATATAATTTTGATCGAGGGCTGGCCAGGCCATCCGTTTGCTTCCAGGTTTGAGATCTTGCAAGGGGACATGCGGTTCATTTTTCGCCCCTTTTGCAGGTTGCCTTGGTCACATAATCGCCTTGAATTAGGCTGCCTATGTTAAACCTTGTTGGAGGGTTCTTCCAGGGCTTTGCTTGACTCCTGCCAATATACCCGTGGACCCTCGCTTGCGGCAAGAGCTCGCGACTCAACAGGCAAGCAAGCCGGCCATACAGAGACAGAACAGCGTGCCTGAGCGTGACTGACTTGCCCCAGCTTCCCTGTCGATGCACCGCACATCCCAAGAGTCCACGCAGCCACCCACCCAGGTTGTGATGCCAAAGTGCAACGGTGGTGAGCTCTTCGAATTCCTAGCGAATGAGACAGAGGTACCGGGAGCATGCCGAAACGTTTTGAAATGCCAAAAAGTTGGGGCTCCAATCCATGGGTGAGTATCCCCGGCAAGGGACCAGACACAGGTTTAAGCAAAACTTGCTGGTGCTCGGAAAGATGTGGGAATGAACCCAGGCTTTGGTCCCGAAGGAAACCACCAGTGGGATGGTTTATCTCGGGGTCATTCCATTTCTCATTCCCTGCATCTCTCGCAGCAAGAAACAGCCCACCGTTGCGCGTTGCGCTGTGTGCCCGGTCGAGTCCTTGCGCCGACAGGTTCCAGAAGCCGAGCCAAGCCCTGAGAGACATGGCCCCGAAGCGCAGAAACGAAGCGAAGGAAGGCCCGAAGAGCCCGAAGGCATCCATTGGCGGCATGTAAAAAACAAAAGGACGTATCACACATGCCTCACCTGCACACAGACACGTATATTTTACTCATATACGTATCACACATATATATATATATATATATATCACATGTATACACCGTATGCATGGCCCACATACATGATCATACACGTGCATCGATGCACGCGTACGAATGCATAAGCACACTTGTTGTTTTTTGTTCTCTCTCTCTCTCTCTCTCTCGCTCTGTGCACGTGTGCGTACGCCTGAGACTGTGTGTGCGTGTGTGCGCATGTGTGTGTGTGTGGGTTCATGCGAATGTGGGTTTGTGTTGTTTGTTTGTTTGTTTGTTCGTTCGTTCGTTCGTTCGTTTGTTTGTGTATGTTTCTTTGACTGTGTGCCATTGTGCCATGGTTCCTGCCTTCGAGGTGCAAGCGAATCATCCGGGAGATTTTGACTGCAGTAGGCGCTCGGCATTGTGGGCGCCAACTTGACCTTCTGGCGTTCCCATTTGTCAAAATTCCCAAAAGGTTGACCATGAATTTCCGGGTCCCTTGGGGCAAGACACCACTGGTCGCCCCCGCCAGAACAAGAGTCGAACGCATGCCTGAGCCTAAAGCGCTCAACATCTTCAATCAGAAGTTGGGATCTGAGTCTTCTCCCTAAGTCGGTTTGTTGCTTGCTTTTTGGTTGGCCGTTGTTGTTGCCCAACCCAAGCGGAGGTATGACATTTTGAACGTGAGAAGACAGCTCTTGTCAGCGCATCGGACTTCCACACTGCCAGGGCATTTGCATGCCAACAACATCATCCACCGAGACATCAAGTGCGGACCACGGCATTTGCGGGGCGATGCGGCTTTGGGCGGCACCTAGAGCTTCGCTCCAGCTGATTTCGAGGGGCAAAATCACAAAGCAATGGCTTGCAGAGAATCTCAGATAGGCTTTTGACAGAGGCGCTTTTACTTTGAGGCCAGAGAACATCATGTTCGACATGGACTTGATGGTGGAGTCCTCACCCAAAACAGTGAAGCTGATCGACTTCGACACCTGCCGGGGACCCTAGGGTGGCTTTTAGTTTTTGCATAGAAAAATCGCACGATGTCAGGTATGCGCTTGCTTTGAGCAAGTTCCATGTCCATGAGGGAGCTTGTTTTGAGAGCGCCCTTTTTGCGCCAACCCGCCCACGTGTCAGCATAGTTGGCTCTTGCTTCAGACGCGGGAATTGTTGAGCAACTGTTTCCGAAAGAGAGCGAAACAAGTTCGGCCAGGGCACCAACTATGCCGAAGAAGAAGTTCAACAGTTGGCGTTTTTACTGGAAGATCCAGGAAAGCAGGCAAAACCGGCGTTACCGTTCATTCATTGGTGACCAACCTTTCTGCTGGCTGGCAGGCCAGGAGTGGACGCCGCAGACGCCGAAGAGCCGCCGCTTCGTGGGGACGCCTTGGGCCCAGTGGAAGCGCGCTCTGGGGTGCATGTGCCACCCGCGGTTGGTTCTGTGCACGTGTGTATGTTTGTTTCTGTGTGTGTGTGTGTCTGTCTGTGTGTGTGTGACTGAGTTTTTCCCCCAGGCGACAGCTGTGGGCAAATCATTGATGGGAATATATGAGTGGACACCTTTGGCAAAAAGGGAGCGCTTAGGTCTCCTAGTTGGGTTGCACAGGCATTCATGCGCGTAATGCATGTTTGGGTGTTTGGCGACTGTTGCTGCGCTGATGGCTGCAAGTTGACAAGGATGTCCTCTGTAATACGCACTCGCGTAACAACAGCAATGCGTTCGGAAGCAGGCGCCAGAGGGACACTCATGAGCGAATGCTTGCACTCATCGTTATCTTCATCTATTGTTCGCACAAGCACCAATTGCTTCACTCCTTGCGTCCCCACGGGCTCCCAAAAGGAGGTGTTTCAGAATCACATCTTCTTCGCAAGAGGTCTTGTTGGTTTCCAGTATCCACGAAGAATCCACGTCTCGTAAGAGCTTGCCTGCGGTTGTTGGCTTCTTTGGTGCATGGCTTCGTTTACTTAATAGGCGCTCAGGGCCAGCTTTTTGCAGTTAGCCAAAACCCTAATCCATGTTCGGAACTTGAAATGCCTTCAAATAACCATTCAGGCCTTTTCAAATCAGGTCTTTTCAGGATTTTTCTAGTTGTTCACGGCTGCATAAAATCCACAAAAAGCAGGTTGAGAGTATAACCAGAACTAAGGTTGCATGCTGATGCCTTTTGCTCGTGGGAACAACTTGCGAAAAGTTGTGAAGGAAGGTTGGGCAAAGTTGGCAACATGTTGGGACCAAGTTGGGAAAAAGGTTGGGACAAAGGTTGGGAGAAGTTGGGAAACACTTGGGGAAAAGTTGGGAAAAGTTGGGCAAAGGTTGGGAAAAGGTTGGGAAAAGGTCCGGGAAAAAGGTCGGGGAAGAAAGGTCGCGGAAAAATTGGGAACAGTTGGGAAGAAGTCGGGAGAAAGTTGGGAAAAGGACGGGAAAAGGTTGGGAGGAAGTTGGGAAAAAGTTGGGAGGAAGTTGGGAAAAGGTTGAGACAAGTTGGGTAGCCGTTGAGAACTGGGAAAAGCTTGGGATAAGTTGGGAAACGCGTGGAAAAGAGTTGGGAATTTGGTTGTGAACAAGTTGGGATGCTGCAAAGACTTTTCTGATATGAGTGAAAAAGCACCGGCTGTGCTTTGGGGGGACCCAGATCTTAGGGATTTTCCAGGGTTATTAGGGATTATGTAGCTTTTCGTGGATATTGCATAGCTTCTTGAGGTGTTTTTTCTGGTTTGTTGTGCCTAAACACCGTTTCCAAAGAGACTGTTCTTGAAACGGTATGACAGGTACGCCTTTGAAAATTGGCATCAAAGGAAGGTCTGGAGCTCTAGGTTGTCTTTGGTCGTTTTTTTTGTGGGATTGGAATTGAACGCTAGTGGCCTGATTTCTGCCTTGTCCGTGGCGGGGCGAATCCTACTCAATTGCATCATGCAAGGGAAAGCGGGCAATGACAGCATATCTTAACCATGCCATGCGGGCTTGATGGTCAATGCCGTTTGGCGAATTCACATTCCAACTTGGACTGGTATCTCATGCTGTTCTTGGCATGTCATGCATGTCTGGTTTGGTTGCAATGTTGTTCAGTTGTTGTCGGGGAGAGGGGGGGGGGGGTGTTTTTGGCCAACATACCGAAGGTCGGGAAGCTACTGTTGGTCCACCTTTTCGCTCGACTGAGGCCGGGTTACATTGCTCGGGGGCCCAGCCAAATGTCCTGCTTCGGAGGCCTTGAAATTTCGGGCCTCACTCCGGGGGTTTCTGTCATAGAAATCACCGAGCTCAGTTGAACCTGGGCTTCACACCGGGGGTTTCTGTTGATGGAAATGGGTATGGGTCAACATTAAACCAGCAGGATATGGACCACAGGTTTTAGTCATTGTTTCCATGTATCAGGGTGCCATTTTGGGGTTACCCTATTGTTGACAACCACAGCCAGATCACCGACCTCGAATGCCGGGCCTACGGCGCCTACGGGATGAATTTTCCCCCCGAGGCGCCCGAGGCGTTGCTTGGCCAGATGACCCCGCAGTCCGACCTGTGGTCTGCCGGCAGCCTCGGAGCCCGTCGCCTCCAAGCGAGAAATTTGGGGCCGAGGAACGGGGCGGCAGCAATGTTGACCCCATGTCAATCAACCAGTTTATTAGGGGGTGCCCATTTATGGGTTTATTGGGGAATCATCACTTTGGGAGGGGAACACCCCCTATGAACCCACAGGGGGGTTATTAATAGGGGTCAACATCATAAGGGAACGCGGCCGAAAAAACAGCAAGGAAGGTGCGTATTGGGAGGATCCGGAGGCAGCCGTACAGCTCCCCTAAGCCGGGCCAGCTAGGAGTTGCCGACGACGTGCTCCGAACCATTCCTACCAGCCGATGAAGCAAGGGTCGAAACTTGACAAGCGGTTGCCCTTGCTTCTCTCGATCTCTTGAACATCGGACAAATCCTCATCACTTGAGCCATCTCCCATTTTGAATGCTTTGAGGGTCCACTCACTTCCTGAGTTCCTGGACTTGAGTCACTTGGGTTTGGACCCCACTCCGGAACTTCGGAAGTGGAGCCTCCAACTTTTTTCCAGTTTGGTACATGACAAGTTTGGGCCATCCTTCCGTTGCCTTGATGCGTGTGGCCGGCCCGAGAGGTCGGGGTCATTTTGTACATCCTGATGACCGGGGAGATGCCCTGGAGCTCGCTGGTGAGCCTAGAGGAGACCCAGGAAATGAGCACTTCGCCTTTGTTTTTTGCACCCAAAGAAAAGACGGAGGGGTGGCTTCCAATCAAAGATGGTTTGACTCCCTGAGTTCCGTTTCGGACTTTAGTATTACAGTGTACTTTTCTTTTTTTTTCTCACTTTTTGGGTTTGGGCCATTTTAGCGGTAAATAGAAATTTCCGACTTATTTTGGCCCATCCACTCGGGAAGTGAGCAAAAGGAATATTGTTGCACACCTACCTAGGTTCCGCGATTGAAGGGAGGGCAGCCCAGCATGTTTTTGCAGCTTGGCCTTCTGAAGGTTGGGCTTAGCTGACCTTTTACGCCTTGCGCCGTCTTTCAGCGATGCAGCCGGCAGTGTTTGTTTTGTTTGATTTTTCTTGTTTATACAAATAAAACCCAACTTGGGGTTTTATAAACACACCCCAACGCGGTTTGTACAAAACCATGTTCTCGGGTGAACGCAGTGGGCTTTTCGCGTTGCAACCAGGACGGCCTGGTGGGCAGCCCCAGCGCCACGCAGATGTACCGGGCGCTGAAGGCGGGAAACACACTGAGCGATGCCCGGGGTCGCCCTTTGTTCAAGAGCCATCATGTTGACCCCACATTAATCAACCCCAGTTTGGATATTTCAAATGCATTTCAGTGCTCTTTTCATCTTGATGGTGTGGAACGTCGCCTTTTGGGCTCCTGAAGGTGAGCCTACCACAATCAAAGTAACAACCATAGCCATATCCTACTAAAATCCCAACTACAATGGGTGGTGCACCTACCCCAAAATGGGATCCCAAAACGGTTTTGACAACCACAGCCATATCCTACTAGAATCCCGACCCCAGTTTATAAATAGGGGGGGTGTCAACCTGGGTATAGTCGTGAACTCCCCCTATCAAGAAACTGGGCTTTTAATGTGGGGCTAACATTAGCTACCATGACACGCAGGGCTCTCCACTTTTTGACCCCATGGTAGACTTAAACCCAGTGCTTCATTTTCCAAAAAAAGGAGAACCCTTGGGTTTATCTTGGGGTGGTGGAACCCCGATGACACAACCATGATTTGAACCAGAGGTGTCTTTGCATGTTTCAACAAGGCCCAGTCCGAATGCACAGTCTGGCCAGGCCGAGGTTCTGGAGTCAGGGGCCCAAGATTCAGCGGGAATGAGAGTTGGGCCCGTGCCGCGCCAAGGCGCTTGTGTACAGTCAAGGGCGCTCCACCCTCTTTTGGAGGCCTAGAAGCCTACCTTGCTACTAGACTACCATTCGCACATGCATCGCTTCACTTTCCGGATCTTGGCCGGAAAGAGCTTTGACGCAAATTGGTTCGCACCGCTGGCTGTTGCTAGCCCCAGCCACCGCCCTTACCGCAGGAGGCGAGGCCTGAGCAAGGGTTTGGCTTGCTTCTGCTGTTTCATGGCCGCTTTCGGAACCGACTCCGCGTTGGGTTCTCTTTTGGGCTCAGTGCAAGACCTTGAGGCAGTGGCGGTGGGTGCAGGGTACCCGCCATGAACCTTCTCACGCTGGAGGAGGACGGTAGTTATGGAGCGCTGCCGAGTGAGGTGGATCTCACAGGCGTGGAGACGGTGTAGCAAACCTCACCAATCTCCGACGCAGCTCACGGCAAAGTTCTGGCGCCGAGTGTGGTGCATCGTTTGGCCTGGCAAGGGCTAGCCACAAAGTTTTCCCCAGCGCAGCCCGAGCTTGCACGGAGGCAGTGACTCACAGCGGCGTGAGGCGGTGCACCGGATGGCCATTACGGAAGCCACCAAAAAGGAAAAGCCTTTCACCACAGAGAAACGTTACCCATGGTCGTTTCAGGGATGGGCCAACCCCCAAATGCCAGGCGTTGTTTGTTGCCGGTGCCACAACGCGACGCCAAGGTGGGAACAGGAGCCATGGCCAGATTTCCCGCTGGCACGGGAACTTTGCCCGCAACCCAGACAGGGCTATCTCCAAGAAAGGGGGGGGTTCTTGAACAGGGCTCCCTCCCTGTATGTTTTTCTCCTGGCGGCGCCACCTTCTGGGCAATCTACAGCGAGTTTCTTTTTTGCGGGGTGATTCCACCAGCCAAAAGGGGCTTTGACAAATTCCGAAATGCCGCCATGCGACCGAGAAGGCTCGGCCTGGCATTTTGTCTCTGGCAAGTTGGGGGCCCATGCCATGAGTTGGTATTCCTGGGTTGTGGCGAGGCCAGAAGCTCCTGGCTTTTGAGTTGGAGGACAGGATGAAGGACTGTGAGGAGGCCCGGAAGGAGAGCTCGAATCAGGCTGCCGGCTGCCCGGACCTGGCTCCGCCGTTTCGTTCCCCCCAAACGAGAACATGGAGAAGGGAAACCGGTCCTTGAGCTGGGGCCGATTTTCCCACTTGGCGGTGTCTATTCTTTTGCATTTCTGGTCCGCATTTCTTGGGTGCTTTTTTGGCTTGGTGCGGCAGGCAATGAACCATCCGTGGTTGAAGGAGTGAGCGGGGCCCTCAGTCAACGGATTGGCTTGACAGGTCGTTGGCGGGCTTGCCCAAGCTGCCAGTGTCTTCTTTGTGTATTTGTTTGTCCACAACTGGGTGCGACATAGCATATAGCTGTAGTTTGTTCAAAGGAAAAACCAGCAGCGGATGGGCATGCTTTTAGTTTTTTTCCAGATATTGCCATGGGTGACCTGTCAGTTTTCTGGTACCGCCATGCATGAGGAATTGCAACATGTTAGTTTTGCAAGAAAACAGCCGCAGCATGCTTTCCGAAGACTCGGGTGACCCCTTTGCACCTTTAGCAGTGCTTCCATCCAGCAAGGTTTCAGCAGCTGCCTTCCTAGCTGTTTCCATGCAGAGCCTTTGACGATGTCTCTTAGCGTCGATTTTGAGTCATTTCTTGGGACGCGCTTTTGCGCAAAGCATACGCTACAGAGTTGATTTGTGGCTTTGACACATATGTCACATGCCTGCGTCTAAAACAGGAAGTGCCTGCTTCATTTCGGTGTTCATTATTTGGATTATTAATTTACCAACACCGTTGGTTGATGCTAGGGGTGCACACACAAAGCCACACATTAACTCTGTAGCGTAAGCTTTGCGATTCACGCAGTCACGTGACGTCAATGATTGTGTTGAGGCAAATCTTCAGGGTTGGTTGGGGGCCAGAAGGAAGCCAATTCTACGCGCACGCGATGATATTTTTAAACCAGTAACTGCAGAAGCACCCTTGGACTCACTGCCACGTGTGAAATGGTTACGCCACGCCTTGATTGTGTTTTCCGATGCCTGCTGAAATTCAATAAGCTTCATGTGTCGTCCACTGTTACAACTAGGTCCCCCAGTAGTGCCCTTTTACCCCTTTATTTGGGGAGTTCCCCTACTAAGCTAGACTACAGAAAATGTTGGTATCCTTCTTCTAACCTCTCTACTGGAGGACCTAGACAATTCAAGGGCTCTTGTGCCTGGGGCTGGCTCCATTTTGTTGTTTGACGTATCGATGCGCGGTCGCGGAGACTGTTCAGCGGCGCCGGATGGGCATGAGCCCAACCTTTGCTTCCGCTTCACATAGTTCCAGTTGGTACCCCATCGAGTGACAGCTTCGGTCGGAGGAGGTGTGCCGGCGTATTGTACTATTGCTCTTTGGAGCCTGCGGGGAACGGCAGTCGCCTCTCACCTTTCTGATGCCTTTTTGGGCTTCCTTGTTTCAGGAAATCAGCCGGCCATTGCGCGAAAGCCGTTTTGTTTTTTTAACAGTCAGCCCTCAGATCGCCTCATGAACGCGCGCAGCCCCCAGGATCGAGATTCGATGGGCAAGAGGCCGGCGGGCCTCGGGCCTCGGGCCTCGGGCGGGCGGGTGGGGTTGATCCCAGACTCAACTCCCTGAGTTCCGTTTCGGACTTCACTCACTTGGGGCTGGACCATGTTAGTGCTAAAGTCGAGACTGTTTTTTTCTGGCCAGTCCACGAAGTGGGACATGAAGAGAGGCTCTCCAGGCAAAGATTTATCTTCCGGGGAGTCCTCCGACTGCTGTGAATCCGAAGTTAACATCAGGGGTGCAACAGCGAACGAGACACGGGCAACGCAAGCCGTCACACCCAGGACAATTGCAACCCAATTATTTGTGAGACGATGGTTTTTTGAGACATGCCCCATTGGAGAACTGATGACACTTGTGCTGACTTTGTCGCCCAGTCATTGTTGCATGTCACGACTGCCAAAACAAGCTTTGTGATAGCAGGTGGCTCTGGTTTGCACCGGTTTGCGAATTGGCTTGCGGTGAGAAAAGGAAAGGAGTGTAAGACTGGAGGCATTCTACTTGAAGTGTGCTAAGTGTCATTCGGTAGGCCCATGCATGAAGAGGCTGAATTTGCACATTAGGAGCATTTTGGTGGCTTGTGTCTCTGCAATCAAGCTTTTGTTGTTAGGTAATCAACCAATAAAATAGGAGTTAGTTCCTTGAGTTCGCATCGCATATGCATACCTTGCAGCACAAAGCATATGAGTCGGCTTTAAAATTACCGTCATTTACTTTATGTAGGAGTTTTCATGGCATGTTGTTTTGGGCCTTTTCTCGGGGGGAAAAAACAACGATACCTGACAGAAAAACCTGGAAAACGATACGGGACGTCGGAATGCATACACCCCGACAAGTAATTTTGACGCTGACTCATACGAGGGCAATGCAGCTTTCCGCCTGTGCGGCTTGCCACAAGCGCCGGCGCTTCTTTTCGCCTCTGTTGGATGAGAGGGGTCCGATTGCTGTGGGCTTTACGGGGGCCCCTCAAACATAGAGGTACCGCCCCAGGGTGCAACAAGGACAGCAACTTCTCAAGATGGGCAGGTGGTAGCAGCCTCAATGGCAAGCTGAAAGCTCCGCTGAGTGCTTGCCTGGGCATCCTGTTTTTTTTTTACCTCTTAGGCTCAACACGCGCCGTTGCGGCGCGAAGAGAGATGCATTCGCCCGGTTGCTCGAAGAGCATCTGGGCAGCGGTTTGCGGCCAAAAAGCGGCCGGGTGTAGGCGGAGGGCCTCAAGAAGCGATGCATTTCGACCAACTGGTCCTCCGAACCTGCCCGCTAGGAGCCGATTTTCTGGCTGGCAAGAAGTGAAAGGAGCAAAGGAGCAGCCACTCTACCAAAATGAGGTGCCACGCACCAGCCAGAAATTTCGTTTTTTCTGCCAATTAGAAGGAATATATAGGCTTCCCCAGCTGCATTCCAACCGCTGCCCTTGCTGGGCAAAAAGGAATAGTATGAATCCCTTGAAGCTGTTGAACACTGATCTTTGGCTAATCTCGGCCAACATGAAAACCCAGCGCTGGGGGGCCTTCGTTTTTGGCACGAATCTCGTGATGAGACTCGGTGCCAACCGCAGCCGTGTTGGAGGGGCTTCCCGCGCGGAAGGATCCAAATTCATTCCAAGAAGCGGGAACACCTGGCTCCTTTGACATGGACTGCGTTGACTGCCGAAAAGGACACGTATGGTTTAGCCCGGGAATGATGGTGTCAGAGCACCTGCCCAATTGGTCTGTCTAGGGGGGGGGCAGGGCGGACATTTAAATAGGTGTCCGTTGCATTTGCATCTTGCAATGCAAATCCGCTGTGCTGGGTATCAACTGACTGGTTAATCTACATGGTGCAGTGGTTGCTGCTCAACAAAATTATGTTATTTTTTACCACTTTCGGAACTCACGTGTATCCCACAACCTCAAGCTACACTTTCAGGTGCCGAAGAAGTTAACAATGACAAATATTGACGGGATGAAAGAACGTACAATTGATTCTTTCCAAGCAACGTTTCGGCTCAAGCACCGGTGGGTCTGTCTGGGTGGTCCTCACGATGGCTGAGGAAGATGGGGTAGTGCGACTTGGCTGAAGGCTTGCAACGGTGCGCATTTGTTGGTAGATGCACTTGAAACACGATTCTTCGACATCGGGACAAAATATCAAATGATCTTGTTGATTTGCGTGGTCACGACATTTTGTTCGCTTTCCCTGGTGCAGCCGCTCGAATCAGCCTTGACACTCGCAAGCCATGGGTTGAAGGGTTTTGCCCGGTGGGCAGAAAAAAGAAAAGAAAACACCAGCAACCGGCTGCATTTCCTGCCGCGAATCAAACTCCAAAGTGGGAACGAATGGATAGCACAGTTGTTGGAACGGTGGATGAGAGCTGGCGAATTGTTTGAAAACAAAACTTGCTGAAAGAGTGTTAGATGGATAATTTGATTCCGACCAACATGTTGGGTTGCCGGGGGGGGTTGGCCCGGGACGATGGCGAGTTGAAAGTGCATCGCATTGAACAGGTGCTCAAATGTGCCACGAATCACTGCATTTTCAAGCATGCCTCCCAGGAATGTCGCTTACCAAACCCTGCAACTTCGCGTACCCGAGATAACAACTGTGAGTACGCTGCCGTGACAGTTCCACGTTTTTTTTTAAATCAGCGGACGTATATATATATATACATATATGTATATATGTATGTACATATAATTAGATATATATATATATACATAAATAGACATATACATATATATATATATATATCGATATATATATATATATATATATACGTACATGCCTCTCGTGTAGAGCATCCACATACCGCACATCTTCATGCCACCACTTTCGCAAGAACGGAATGGGCGATACCTTCGCCAAACGAAGTAGTATGACCAAAGCTAAACCTGCAGACTCCATCTGCCTGAGCACTCAAGAAGGTGCGAGCACGTTACAGAGCAATCCTGCATTACATCACCCCGGCCGAACATGAACGCTATCGTCCCCACCCCACCCCACCCCAAGAGCGGTCACCTCTCATCTCATGAACGCTATCGTCCCCACCCCACCCCACCCCACCCCAAAGAGCGGTCGCCTCTCCTCTCATGAACGCTATCATCCCCACCCCACCCCACCCCACCCCACCCCACCCCACCCCAAAGAGCGGTCACCTCTCATCTCATGAACGCTATCATCCCCACCCCACCCCACCCCACCCCACCCCACCCCACCCCACCCCACCCCACCCCACCCCACCCCACCCCACCCCACCCCACCCCACCCCGGGCCAACCCCCCCCGTCAACCCAGCATGTTGATGCGTTGTTTGAATTTGACAACGTTTTGTTTGGCGCCTTCTGCCGCACGCGGTGTTACTGCAGGCGTGCGCCATCAGCCAAGAGATGTTAGGGTGCGATTCTAATTGGCGGGTCGACCTTCCAAAAAAATATGTTGATCTATTTGGACAGGCAAATGGTAAACATGAACGGAGCAACTTGCCCGGTAAGGCGTGATCTTTCGATGCATTGACACAAGGTTGAACCTTGGCCGTCAAAACCGCTGATGCCAACCAAAATGGTTTAAACATTCCCGACTTGCAAGTGGAATATGACGACTGTTGGGAATTCCAAATTGTATTGTCGTAACAAGATTTGCAAAACAAGCAAACTTAGGATTGTTGATTGGAACCGAACTTTGTTAGGTGCATGTAACCGCACGAT